GTTGATACCCAACTTTTCCCAAAAATATTTTTAAATTGCATATATACCTTCAAAATCATGCATGAATAGCAATTGGTATTTTTCCTTTTCCTATATTTTATTAATTTACCCAGCATTTTATTTCCAATAAATAATTACACAATTGCATCACAAGGAAAAATTGCATATTATTTATGGTCCTATTTAAACTAAATTATTTCATAATCAGCCAAATTGGCATCGTTTGGCTACAATTGCGATAACTTTGCAATTATAGCCCAAGCATACAATTTTATACTATTATTTGACCAGAAATTAATCATTTGTATTTCAAAATATTAAATAATCATTTTTACTTATTTTCTGTGCATGAAATTCATTTTAATTATTAGCTATTTTGTAAATTATTGTAATTAATTTGAATTGGGTATTTAACAAATAGCCTAATTTTATTTCAATTCTAGCCTAAATTAAACCAGACCCAAACCTGATTAAATAAGCCCAATCCATTATCCTACCCGACCCAATCCCTGTTTAATCTGGGTCGTTGATCAATTTTGATCAACGGACCAGATCCGTCCTTACCTTAATTAACCTAATAGACTACCCCCAAACCCTCATTTTTCCCTCTTATTCTCTCTGCTGTTACATCTGTCATTCTCTCAAGCTCTCTCTTCTAAAACCTATGCTTCTACTCGCCGGTCGTTGGCTCACCGGTATCAATGGTGGTTCCACCACCACCCCTTGCCTCCATGGCTCTCCCCCATGCCAGATTATTACTACCCTAAGGCTCTCAAAGGTCCAATGGCCGTTCGACTCACACCTAGGGTCTATGCTCACCGTTCTAGGACCACCCTTGGCCCGTTTGAGTAAGATTTTTCTATTTTCCAGCCAGATCCATGGCCTCTAAGCCGAAATCTCTCCATCTCTGGGGTATCTCTCTCTGAAACCCTAACTCATCTCTTGGCTCTTCAGATCTGCCATAGATCTGTGTGTATTTTGAGTTATTTTTGCTGTTTTCTTAAGAATCTCTCCGATTTTTCAAAAGCGCCTTTTCATCTTCAAACTAGGGTTTCTTAACCCCTTTTCAAAATGACTTTTCCTTCTGATTTTCCGTATTATTCTATAATTTTTACTACATTTAAACATTTATTCATGTTTTTCCCTCTTTTTATCTGATTTATTATGTTAAAACCCTAAGTCCCTTGGTCCTAATCCTGGGTTCTGAGTCTGTCTCTGATGATTTAATTCGTATGTGTGCTTGTTTCTCATGAACGTTCTGAGTTTTTGTAATTTTACCCTATTATTTTCATTAGGTTTTCTGATTTTTGCTTCTTCCGCTTATATTATGATTATTCTGTCAATTCCTCTAATTATTGCTATTTTTTTCTAGTTGAAGCCCTAATTCTATGTGATTTGTACTACTGCGCTCATTAGGGTTCCTGATTTTTGCCTCTTCTTGCCTATTATGTGTTTATTCCGTGTATGCATAGAGACTTGTGGTAATCTCCCCTTAATCAGTACTACCCCTGTTTGAATCCCTAATTTCCTGTAATTGCCACCTTTCACTAATTTCTTGTGATGATTTCCTTACTGATTTTCAGCCTCTAAGATATTTTCTTGCCTTATTTTTGGTTGACTATGCTGTCTTATGTGTTTATTACTGAACTTTGATTCTTGCCTTAGTTTCTACCTGTTTTCAAACTATAAGTACCCTGCTTTTCATTAACACAACACACGAACACATTGGTTCAAAAGCTCTCTCTCACACAAAAAACACTCTTCTGCTCTCTTTTCTTCGGTTACTTTCTATTGTTCTAAGTCAGCCGGCTGCAAGCCAAGGATGATTATTCTACTCTCTTGCTCCTCACTTTATGTTTACTATCTTCTTTACTGGTATGTTCTGATTTCAATTCAAGTTTCAAAAACAATATGTTTCTTTTACTACTTTAGTTCATCCTGTTTCTAGTATGTTATTACTTATGGTTTTGTTGTTCAACTTGCAACTAATATGTTTACTTCATCAGTTTATTAGCATGCTTCTGAATGTGTCCCCTCCCTTAGACTCATCATGTTTATGAAATGTGATCCCCCTCCTAGTATACGCCAATGTGGCCCTTTCTTACTTATGTTTCTCTGATTTCTGGCATGAACCTCTCTGTGCAAAGTAGTTGGCTATCCTTAAGTTACATGATTCTGTGTTAATTCTCAAGTTCCCTAACCCCTTAGCATATTGCGTATTCTACACTTAAGTGCTCCTGCAACTATGTGTTTACCTATGTGACCTATGTGTCCCCAAATCCCACTACCCCTGTTTGTGGTTGCTGAACCTGCCTTGGCCCTATGTTTCTTGGTTTTGTATGAACTTGTTTGGGGTGCTGTGTTTGGACTGTTGCTTATTACTCTACTCTCTTTTCAAAAAAATGTCCTATTGAATAAGTCCCCTGTTGTTTTACAAAACTATTTCAAACAAGTCTCTTTTCAAACTGTTTTCCTGCTTAAATCTTTTTAAAGCTACGTCGAGCACTCTCACTTTACTCTTAGACCACTAAGTTCTGCCCCTTTTGTGTGAGCCTTGCCTAGGGACCCTTGAGCTCCCTCTGAACTTTGACACACAAAAGCTAGCCTTTCCACACTGCAGTTACTCTGTCTTGGCTATGAAATCTGGGTGTGAGCACTGTCCGGGATCCCTTGAGGTCCTTAGGGAACTCTGACACACCCGGATATGAGGAAGGCTATGAAACAATCTTGGCATTTGAGGTTCTAGAAATCTGGGCCCGTTTTCAGGATCTCTATAGTGTAACTTCTTATTTTCTTTTTCTACTTATGTAATTCATTTCAATATTGGTCTGTAATAATTTGTTGTAAACGAATATTGGGGTTGGCTAGTGAAAAGGGGAGGGTAGTTATATATGTTATCAACATCAATGGGTAGAAACCATGCCTTAGGTTTACATTTCCTATATGCGCATTAGAATCCATTTCTAAGACCAACACATTCAAAGCATGTCATGCATTAGATATCATGTTCTTAGGTTTACTGTTTCGGCATCTCATTTGACATTATTTTATCACTTAGAAATCCTGCTTTAGGCTAAATAACAGCATTAACATAAAACTGTTGCTCCTGCACATCCTGAAATCATGCTGTAGCTTTTTGGGCATTTAGAAATCATGCTTTAGGAATTCTGCATATCCTGAAATCATTCTGCATTTTTATATGTGCATGTTAGATACCCTGTTTTAGGATCTCATTCACACTCGCTCAGTCATACCTAGTTAAACTACTGATGCATGAAAAGGACATAAAACAGTCTCACGTTTGATTATCCCGTTAAAGTGAAACCGGTCAAAATCCTTGTATATTTTTGCAACATTTAGAACAACATGCTTTAGGTAAAAATAACTTCTAAACTGTTTTAATAATTCTGGTAATTGTTGTGCGTTAATCCTACGCCTTGGCAAGCATTAGGTAATCAACCTCTATAAAACTGGAAACTGTTCTTTGTGTTTACTGCTTAATGGTTAACAAGCTTAAAATCAGTAGGCAAACCTGATTAGGACTTCCTCTCTGAGTTATGTAATCGGACTCTGCTACCATGCTTAGGATCTGAATTTAGACCTTAATTGTGTATGAGTCATGCTGTTTGTGTGTACTATGTGTGGAGGTATATCTGAGCCTTTTATTTGTCTTCCATGCTCCCCTTTAATTGAAGTCCTATCTGTTTATTGTGTCGCCTTAGTATTTTACCTTTAAACTTGAGGGTCTGCCTAGAACCCCCTTTTATGGGATAAGAGTCCTAAATTCCTCCGGGACTGATAGGATGGGACGGGTAACAACATGCAATAGGGGTCGAGACCAACCCTCGCTTTAATTACCTTCATGGGGCGGGAAAGGGTGGATATGGATATGATGACCGGTGCGTTAATACCACGTGTAGCCCCTCTTTGAGGAGTGTCATACTGGATATTGCATTGATGTGATCCATATTATAAACAAACCTAGGATACCCCTTTACATTCACAAATGCTTAGATTGTAATTCTTTTCAAAATCTAGCTTTTCATTAACTATTTTTCAAACATCCGTGTACTTAAACTTGAATCCCCTATTATTTGAGCCATACTTGTTTATTTTCTAAATTGTACAAATCCACAAAAGTTGTTTGGCCAGGAACCACACTGGAGGATCCTGAGGGGTGCCTAACACCTTCCCCTTAGGATATTTTCAAGCCCTTACTCTGTCTCTGGTTACCAAACGTAGTTATCAATGAACCCTCTAGGTGCCCTAACGCACCTTAAATCGTTAGGTGGTGACTCTTCAAAATGCAAACCCCTTTTCCAAAAGGAACGATTTGTCTCAACCAAAATGTCATAAACCCGATTTCGCGAGAAAAAGGGAACGCGACAGGGGGAGCTGCACCTTTTAATGGATGTAGTTATACTTCTACTGGATGATGCAAATCTTTGATAGGGATCTTCCTCACTACTCAACTTATGGTGAGCCCTCTACAGTTCTAGTGGGCATTTGGGTCTAGTTCATTTTATGTACTTAGGTATTTATTGTTATAGAAGGTCCATGTACACTGTGGGTCATGTACTTAAGCTTTGAGTTTTGTCATGTATTTATCTTCACAGTATTTACAGATATTTATAAAGCTATGTATCCATCATGAGAAGAATTTTAGGCCATTGAGCCAAATGTATTTAATTTAAAAGTCAAGAACTAATTATGTTATGGTAAATTGATAGTAGGCTATAACTATGTATTTCAGCCACTATTTGCACTCTAAATTGGCTGTACTTTACTGATGTTTGAGCGTTAAACGGTAGTAAATTGCTCTGATTGAGTGTTTTATGCTTTACAAGAGCAATTCCGGGCTACAACGAGGTTAATGAGCGTTTTGAGCTAATATGGAGTGTTGAAGGACAAGTAAAAATTTATGGAGTAAATTGGGAGTTCGTTAGAGGATCGAAGGAGGTTACCACACTTAAAAAGAAGAACGAAGAGGAGTGCAGAAAATGGCCCATGTGTTCGGCCGCGCACTGGGCCGCGCAAGTCAGGCAGAAATTGGACAACATGCGAGGCCAGATGCGCGGTCACCTGCCCAGGTGCGCGGCCATGCTCACCTTCCGAGAAAAATTATTTCAGGGCTAAAATTGTAATTCCAGAGGCGACTTTCCTTGAACTATATGAAGCCTAGCTCGCCCAAAAAGCTGGTATCTTGGTTTTTAGAAGAAGTTGGAAGGCCAGAATAGGCAAGGAGCAAGATGGAAGATTCGAAAATGAGTTTTTATTTTTCTTCCCTTTTTTATCACTAATGATGAATTCGTATGTTGTAGTTATGCAAACAATTATGAGTAGCTGAACTCCTAATCTAGGGTTTTGATGGAACCTATTGGAGGATGATTTTCTTGTTACATTAATATATATTTGCCGTAGTATTGTCTCCATTTGTTCAACTATATTATTATTGTTGTTGATTGATGGGCCCTCAATTAACTATGCCTATTTAGTATGTATTACTTGGGAGAGAGTGCATATTTAGGTAGTTGTTGAACAACATCATTCCTAACGTATATGAGCGATCAATACGAAAGTTTTAAAGGTGGGATTAGGGATAACGAGACCTTGGTTCGATCTGAGTGAGCTGTACTTAAGGCCAGCTAGCGTAATTTGGGAGAATATGTCTAGTATATTGTGGTAATTACTCGGAAGAGAGTTACGATAGTTAGAGTGCTCATGATCGGTAGAATAGACTTAGGCAAATTTATGGATGACGTAGCGGAAAGCATTCCGAAAATAGGGGAAATCATAACCTTAGATCATTCCAATTCTTGTCTACACTGTTCATAGTTAGTTATTATTTATTGCAGTTTCATTACATAATATTTAGTTAGTAAACATCCAATTTGTTACTTAAATATTTCTGAATATTGATTACGTGAATTTGTGTGAGTCTAGTAGCTGTGTTTAATAAGTTAATTCCCTGTGGGATTCGACTCCGGACTTATTGACAGGAATATATTTGCAACGACCGCTTAGTCCTTTTTATAAGGCATAGTTGCGCGTGATCAAATTTTGGTATTGTTGCCGGGGAGTAAGGACAGCAGCGAAAGTGTTGGAGTCGGGCTTCTACTGGCCGACATTGTTCGAAGATGCACACTTATGGGTGAAGGGTTGTGATGAATGCCAACGAACCGGGAATATTTCCCGCTGACATGAGATGCCTATGAACCCAGTTCAGGAGGTAGAAGTGTTTGATGTATGGGGAATCGATTTCATGGGGCCTTTTGTCAGCTCATATGGCAACAAGTACATACTCGTAGCAGTGGACTACGTGTCCAAATGGGTCGAGGCTACAGTGCTCCCTACAGATGATGCAAAGGGGGTAATTGGTTTTTTGAGAAAGAATATATTCACCCGATTTGGCACTCCAAAAGGCAATAATCAGTGATGGAGGCACTCACTTCTGTAATTGAGCCTTCGCACAGTTGTTAGAAAAGTATGATGTACGCCACAAGGTTGCCACCCCATATCATCCACAAACGAGTGAGCAAGTGGATGTTTCGAACAGAGAGATAAAGAGCACGTTGACAAAGATTGTGAATGCTACAAGTACGGATTGGGCAAGAAAGTTAGATGATGCACTCTGGGCTTATCGTACCGCTTTCAAAACTCTGATTGGCATGTCGCCGTATAAATTGGTGTTTGAGAAGGCATGTCACTTACCAGTGTTGTTGGAGCTTAGAGCTTTGTGGGCATTGAGGCAGCTTAATCTCGATAAAGAAGCTGCGGGCACAAGTAGAGTCACAGAGTTGTACGAGCTTGATGAGTTTCGCTACCAAGCTTTTGAGAGCACAAGACTATACAAGGAGAGAATGAAGATAATGCATGACAAATATTCTTGAGTGGAGTTTTACACCCAGAGATATGGTATTGCTTTACAATTCAAGATTGAGGTTATATTCGAGCAAATTAAAAGTCAAGATGGTCAGGACCATTTTGTGTGACAGAGATTCACCCCACTGGTGCCGTAGAGATTGCTGCAAGAAAATGACTCTCGCATGTTCAGAGTCAATGGGAACATGTTAAAACATTATGTGGGCATGGATGACGCAAAAGTAGTGTCAGTGACTCATTTGCTCAAGCCACAATGTTGAGCGAGCCTTAAGTGCGATTACCTGCATCGTGCCGCGACCTTAAACTAGGCGCTTCATGGGAGGAAACCCATTGTAATGTTGTATTCGTCGTGCTGCGACGTTAAATCAAGCTATAAAAAAAACTGAAAAATGCGCGGCCGTGCATTGACCACGCATATGGCCGCACATTTTTAGAATTTTACCACAGATGCACGGCTACGCCTTGACCGCGCAGCGAACACACACTGGGCGACGTTGGTAGGGTGTTTAATTAATTATTTTAGTTTGTAGTTTTTTATTTATTATATTTCCTTCGTATTTTTTTAAAAAACAAGAACCCCTTGCTAACCTAAAAAACTCTTGTTCACCCACCCTTCTCTTAACCCAAAAATTCCAAAACCCCTCCCTTCTCCCCTACCAAGTAAGAACCCCCCACTCTCTCATCTGATTACTGTCTTCTTCTCCCCAACCAACATCCTCTCAATTCCATCAGGTAAGTGCCCTTGTTTACTTATTTTTTTATGCCATTGCTTAGGTTATTTTAATTTCTGTATATTGTAGTAGATTTCATCTTGTATTATAGTAGATTTCCCCTTGTATTGTATTCTAGTTACACTCGGGGCCACAGTCGAATTTCATCATGATGGGTTAGGTTGACATTGGTATATCTGTGGTTGAATTGGGGTTATCAAATTGTTGTTTGGGAGTTCGGGTGAATTGTGCACTTTAGGTGTTTGTATAAATGCCACAATGAGTTTGAGAATGTAATTTTATGACCAAGTGTGCAGGTGAAGTCTGAGTAACCGCCCTTGGTTCACATATCGTGCCTTTCCCTGATGGTGGTATTTGTTTCAGGTAGTATGACGCCATCCAAGAAATGAAGAACCACCGGCGCATCCTCCAGTGGTCATGCTGGATTATCTTGGCTACGAGCATCGGCCAATGCTCGCCAGTATGATAGTACCAAGTTCCTATCCAGCGAAGTTCAGGAATGTTTTGGTCTTAAGGCCTCCAAGAAACTCATACTGGAGAGGGGAATTGATATGGTGTCCCTCCAACATGACTGTCCCAATATGTATCGTGAATTGGTCCGGCGCAGTCTGGATATCTTGTTTGAAGAACCGGACGAAGCCAATTTAATGATTGTGCGGGAGTTTTGTGCAAACTGCCTCGAACATGTGAATCACGTCTGTAAGGTGCGGAAAAAGAGTGTGGACACCTCCATAGAGGCCATTTGGAGGGCTTACCGGTTGCCAATGTTTGGGGAGATCCTGACGCGGAGGACTACTATGACGCCCATGGCAGAGTAGCAATCCCATGGGAAGTATTCTTTAGGACAATATGTGTGCCCAACAAGGAAATAGTGTGGATTACGCCGTGGTGGAAGTTTCATTTCGGCTTCGCTCACCTTTGAAGGGAAGTGTTGGCTCAACGTCATCAAACAACCGCTTGCTGCCCTCTTCCAATACCACTAAGGTGAATGGTCCCCAGGCTACACTGATCTGGTGTTTTATCAATGGCCATGAATTTGATGTGGCTAAGCTTATTCATGACGAAATGTTCATTCGTTGTCCGGTGCAAAGGTCTGGTTTCTTCTTTCCTTCCTTAATCACTAGATTGTGCCTTGCGGCACGTGTACCAGAAAACAGGGACTTAGATGGGAAAGTAAAAAAATAACAGAAGTTCCGGGCTAATAAAGTGGTATTGGGAAGGATCCTGTTGCACCTGATGAGGCAAGTAACAATGAGTCTGATGCTCCAGAAGAGGGTAATGAAGGGCAAGCTGCATTTGTAGCTGCTTCACCACCGCACGAGCAGGTTGTTGAGGAAACCTCAGTTGTCAGATGGGACACGAGAATGACGGCCTTAGAGCAGGAAATGGTGGGGATGCGTACTTCTGTCACGGACTTGGGAGCTCGAGTGGATGCCCTTGCTTCCCAGAATGCCAAATTTGAGAGGAAGGTCCTGGCATGGCTGTGTGCACTTGGCATGGCTTGCCATCTCGGTCCCGACACTGTCTCCGACCATGACTGATTCTATCAGGGAAGTCCCTTTACCTTACATTTTTCTTTGTGTGACATGGGGACACGCCACCATTTAATGTTTGGGGTGGGGGATGTTTTTTATTTATGCTGTATATATATATATATATATATATATATATATATATATATATAGTAATGTAGATTAGTGTTAGTTTCTTTGGTCATTTTGAGTAATATAAAATAAAATAAAATATCAAAAGTTTGACTTTTCCCGACGATGGATATCATTCGACAGGTTTTTTGAGGGATTAAAGTCAAAAGGAAAAAAGACAAAAAGATTTTCTGTTGTTACGTAGTGTTACAATTTCCCCTTGGTTTTTCTTTGGATCGCGGTTCTTTTCCAAGGGTTTCATTTGAACCGGGTATAGATAGTTTTATTTTTTCTTTAAGAAGTAGGAACCCTTGGGCTATGAGCTGAGATGAAAACAAGGTCACATAACTTCGTTATGCCTTGAGAATAGCGAGTGCTTTAGTGTGACGCTTAGGCTCAGTTGTTGACTCTTTTATATAAATGCTTTAAATTGTATGTTCTTAACTTGGCTTAAGTGCTTTGACTAGAGTGTTGTTGATGATACAATCTTGAGTGAGTCATGTGCCATGTGCGTGTGAGGTTTGTTGTATTCGCATTGCATCTAATGTCTAGAACTTGCCCCGTGTGTTTGCGAAGCGAAATAGTAATTTTGTTCAGTCTTGGAAGTGACATACGCATTTCTTTGTTGTGCCAGTGATATGCTTTTACCACCTAATTGTTATGTATCTTAGTTAACCCCTTTGAGCCTGTAATCCTGTTTTCTTGGCAACCACATTGCAAGCCTTGCCCATTTGTTTAAATTTAATATATATTTGAACCTTTTCACCTCTCATGAGAACTTGAATTCTTATGACTTTGTAAAAGTTAAAGTATGGGGTGGTTGGTGTGCTTTTGTGTGGAACTAATGAAATAAGGAGAAAGGTGCACTGTTGTGAAAAACAAAAGTAAGAGCCACTTGAATTGAAAAAGAAAAAGAAAATATTCCTTGATAAGTGGTGACTCTTGATGAAAAGGTGCTTAAATAATTGGGAGTAAATGTAAATTGATTTGAAGGTGGAGTATGGTTTGACATAAGTGTGGGGTTCCAACTGCTACTGTGTATGTATTAAAGTGCTTAGGGAGGCGTAGTCACTCTTATATCTAAATGTATCCTACCCATCCCGCAGCCTACATTACAACCAGTTATAAGTCCTACTTGATCCTTGACTGAATGAACTCAATTAGTAGGGTAGTACACTACGGGCAAGCCTATGGCGCATTTCTTGTGGCACATGAATGTCGTTTCTGAGAGTGAGTGAATTCTTTGTATCTTGAGTTCCTAATGGTTCTTAAATTATATTGTGTGTGGAACTACTCTCTTTTGATGTGTGAGGGCACTTGATTCATGAAGGAAAGGTGATTCTGGACCTCTATGTAGAGTAAGTGAGTAAGTTTTAAATAATGCATGGTGCTTGTGAGTCAATTCTTGAGGTGAAGATGATACACTACCGTACTTAGTCTATTTGAAATAATCTTGGTGTGATAAGTTAGGAAAGCCTCTTAGAGAGGTGATGTCGATGTAAAGTGTGGTTTGATTGCTCGAAGACGAACAATGGTTTAAGTGTGGGGTATTGATAGTGGGCTATAACTATGTATTTCGGCCACTATTTGCACTCTAGATTGGCTGCACTTTACTGGTGTTCAGGCATTAAATGGTAGTAAATTGCTATGATTGAGTGTTTTATGCTTTACAGGAGCAATTCCGGGCTACAATGAGGTTAAGGAGCATTTTAAGCTAATATGGAGCGTTGAAGGCCAAGTAAAAGCTTATGGAGTAAATTGGGAGTTCGTTAGAGGATCGAAGGAGGTTAGCACACTTGAAAAGAAGAACGAAGAAGAGTGCAGAAAATGGCCTAGGTGCGCGGCCACGCACTGACCGCGCACTGGACCGTGCAAGTCAGGCAGAAATAGGACAAAGTGCGCGGCCAGATGCACGGTCACCTGCCCAGGTGCACGGCCGTGCACGTTCCTTCAAGAAAAATTATTTCAGGGCTAAAATTTTAATTCCATAGGCGACTTTCCTTGACCTATGTGAAGCCTAGACAGAGGGTATCTTGGTTTTCAGAAGAAGTTGGAAGGCAAGAACAGGCAAGGAGCAAGACGGAAGATTCGGAAACGAGTTTTTATCTTTCTTCTTCCCTCTTTTATCGTTGATGATGAATTCTTATGTTGCAGTTATGCGAACAATTATGAGTAGCTAAACTCCTAATCTTGGGTTTTGATGGAACCTATTGGAGGATGATTTTCTTGTTATGTTAATATAGATTTTGCCGTAGTAGTGTCTCCATTTGTTCAACTATATTATTATTCTTATTCATTGACGGGCCCTCAGTTAACTGTGCCTATCTAGTATGTATTACTCGGGAGAGAGTGCATATTTAGGTAGTTGTTGAACAACATCACTCCTAACGTATATGAGGGATCAATACGAAGGGTTTAAAAGTCTGATTAGGGATGACGAAACCTTGGTGCGATCTGAGTGAGCTGTACTTAAGGCCAGCTAGCGTAATTCGGGAGAATATGTCTAGTATATTGTGGTAATTACTCGGGAGAGAGTTACGACAGTCAGAGTGCTCATGATCGGTAGAGAAGACTTAGGCAAATTTATGGAAGACGTAGCGGAAAGGATTCAGAAAATAGGGGAAATCATAACCT